TTCTTTATTTAGTTATGAGAAACAACAGTGAAATGAAAAGAGGGTACAAATCTCTAGTTTATCAATATTTTCAAATACTCCTAGTACTTAAGTGCCCGTTTGGTATAATGATTGAAATCAGGGTGATTTGAGTCTTTGAATTCAGAATCATGATTCATGGTGATTTGAACTTTTGTTTGGATGTGTGCGGACATGATTTTGATTCTAACCTGAATCATGATTCGAACTAGTGTTTGGTTGTGTTGTTTTCTTGATTTTGAATCATGACAAAAATAATAACCATCTTTTGGCCATGTAAATTATGTTACGTATAATTTTAAAAAATATAATTTGGAATATAAGTAAGAAAACGAATATTAGAGAGAAATAAATGCAAAAAATTGTAACTCAAAATTATAATAAGTAAAAACACAAATAAATGGAAAAAAAAATAGTGCATTAGCCAAATAACAGAGGTAAATTGTCATTGCTGTTATATATTTTCAAACTTGTCTTCCACGGCTTCTCTGGTATTCTACCCACATTTCATTCGCAATGCGATCCCTGAAACGACCCATCTCTGTACGACTAACACTACCTGCTGTTACAACTGGGCCTTCAGGGACATTGCCATCATTGTCATCGTCATCAAATTCATCTTCATTGTTTGGAGCTATTTCAGTTACAGGTACACCATCTCGATCGTATTGACTTAGAAGCGGATCCCCCTCATTAACCATGCGAATGAAATTATGTAGTATTGCACAGGCAACTGGAATTTTCACTTGTTTATCCATTGAATATGTATTATTAGGCCGCCTTAGGATAGGGAATCTAGCCTTCCAAACCCCAAATGTTCGCTCTATACAATTTCTCAATGATGAGTGTTTGTAGTTAAAAATATCCCTAGGTCCCCGAAATCCACCACTTCTCCTTCTGTAATCAGGCAAATGGTAAGTCCCCCTTCTGTACGGAGCGAGAAAACGATCATTGTTCGCATACGCTGCATCAACAAGATAGTAGTTTCCTGTGTAGCATATCCAAATTAGGCTGCAAATTGAAGGTTGGTAACAATAAATAGGCATAAGTAAGAAGACATAAGTGTAACCTGGTGGGATACGTCGGAACTGAGACCTAGGATTGTCAAGCGCATCCGTGAGCACTTGAGCGTCGTGGGCTGAACCTTCCCAACCGGATAATATGTATGTGAACTTCATATCAAATGAACAGGCTGCCAATATGTTCTGCGAGTTCACACCCTTTCTATTTCGATAAGCCGTTGGATTATGAACACCAATTGGTGTGCAAGGTACATGAGTACCGTCAACTGCGCCTACACAGTCCTGACCATTTCAAGCAAAAGTTTTGCACATAAGTTTCACACAAACATAATTATCGACGTATTATTAGGAGAAATCAATTATATGTAGTTAAAAATTATACGTAAAAGAGTAACACGACTTACATCGAATCATGTACCATATTTCTTACGGTTGGCACGTAGAAATTTGGGGGCTTAATGAATTCTTCATGTAGTGCACAAATAGCATCTAAAACTTTAGTAAACCTGCGTGATATAGTCTCCCCTGAATGTTGCCAGGCATCTTGTGATTCACGATTACTTTGGCTTTGTAAAATGATTGTTAAGAACACAAATAATTGTTCAGGTGCGCTCATGTTATACGAGGGTCGTAGCAACCCTTTATTAGTTAGCATTTCACATAGTATCATAAAATCATGTGGTCCCATACGCACTTTGTTGAACATTGCATTCTTATTACTGTTTGCTAATAGCTCATTTACCTTGTCCATGCCCCTTAATGCCGAATTGTGCATCGGCCTTCTTACAATGTCAGTAGCCAAATAAGCGGCTGCAGCCGTGGCAACACCTATTGCGGCCTTAAATCTCCTATCGCGTTCCTCATTTTCGGCAATGGCATGTAGAAGCAAGCAAAAGAGGAAGAAAAACCACAATTCACAATCAACCCACAACGACCATTCTTCTACCACTATAGACCAAATCTCAAATCAGATCTAGAAAATCCACAAACAAGATCCAGAAAATCCATCAACATAAGCAGCAAAGTGAAAACAGAGGAAGTAAAATCCTCTCGTGACACACAACAAACTAATCGGCCATAAATCAATCCACTTCCTGATATGTACACACCACAGAAACGTCAACAAAATAACGAAGAAGCAGGCTGTTGAAAAAACATGAGCAAGAGAAAAACCACACATGCTGTCGTTTGAACATCTCCCATTCTAGGTAATGATATTTACGCACAAATTTGAAAAAAGTGAGGATGACATACCCTTACCTGATTCGAGTCCGACGAGGAGATGGACGACACCGCCAGCAGAGCTCCAAAGACAGATGTAGTACTTTTGTAAATTCCCCGTTTGTTTTCTCTCCGGTGAAGGCGATAAATGGCCTTACCTTTGTAGTATTGGTAAAATTGGTACCGAATGTGGAGCTTCCGTCAATTGCTCACAATCACTCGAGCAATTGAAGCATTTCTCATCAACACTAGAAGAGGGGTTCGCGGTGGGTTGGGATGTGAATGCAAAGAGGACTCCACAGGGAAGAGGAGTGAAAACCGAAAGAAAAGAGAGGAGAAAAATCAAAAAGCTGGGATGCTCTGCAAACTCACGCGTGAAAAATGGTCGGTGGGGGTCTAATGATTATTTGGTTGCTCTATTTTCTGTTGGTGCTGAGTCATGTTTTTCTTATCTATATATTAGTTTCTATAAATTGTTTGTCCCATTCATTTAAATGATCAATACGATTGCATTTTTTTTTTGTTAATACAGAGATGGAAATTATGTACGTTATGCATTTATGAAGTTAACTGTATTGTGAAAAATGCTTTAGGTTTTTTCCTTTCTATTGCTTATTTATTATTTTATATGTTGATTTTATTATAATACACTTTGTTGTTTGTCGCTTATTTGGAGCATATTGGGTGTGGAACATTGAATCTGAAATATATTTTTCTCCCAGCCATTTACTGTTCTACTTCGTTATCAATCGTTTCGTGCTTCTTCTTCCTATCGTTACATCCTTTTTTTCCTCCGTATATGTGTATATATGTAAATCTATTTTAAATAAGAATACTATATATATATATATGTATTAACACGTTTATAAAAATGTCAAATCTATCATGTGATATAACATTGTGTTTCACTTTTCTTAGATATATTTTGTATTACTTATAAAGTATACAGTTTTGTTTTTTTCCTCATCTATTATGTTAATTTGGGCATTATTTACGTTATCTATTTATTTCAGTATGTATTGATGCTTATGCTATTATTTGTTTATTGTCTCTTTTTTCTCTTAATATTTACAATTTAAATTGTGTATAATATTGTTATGTCCGTAGAGGTTGGGTTCCTATTTTACTTTTTGCCTTCTTTTGTCATAAGTTTAATTTATATTTACAAACATTTTTTTAAAATTTATATTTTGTAGTTAGAAAAAAAAAAGAATGCTCACGCAATACAACAACAGTGTATTTATATATGCATTTATATAAGCATGTAAATATATTTTAATTAACAATACTATATATATCTATGTAAATATATTTGTAAAAAGTTCACATCTATCATATAATATAACACTGTATTCTGCAGGAAAGTGCAGAATACAAACTCGTTTAATCTGAATCACCAGTGGACAATTCCTAAGAGGAGCTAAAATGTCACACGATTTTTTTTCTTTTTTTCTTTTTAAAGAAATAAATGATATTTTCACTCAACCGCTGTAGATCTCCTCAAAATATTAAGATTGATATAAGTGCAGCAATATTACAATGATTCAAAGCGTTCAAGCTTTTAAGTTTGACCCTGCATTTTTATTTTATTTTATTTTTTCAATTGGCCGTATGAACATAATTAACTCCAAGAAGAAGAAAAATTAAGCTCTACCAGAAATAGTGGCGAAATGGGGACAACCGGACAAGTTGCTTCACTCAGATTTTGAAAATTTTGATTTATACACAATTTTTTCTTTTGAAACTTTTCAGTTGAATCGGTATTATGAGAAAAATATTCAATACCCTCAAAAATTAAAATTTTTAAACGTCCATATATCTTAAAATCTTTTATTGTTTTTTCCCCAGTTCCTTCACTGACAAAATAGTCTTGCTCTGCAACTGAAAAAGAAATATTTTTTTTAGTTTTTTGAAGAGATCATCATCAGCGTTCTGTATAAGTTATTCAATTTGCTATGATAATGAGTTCTATCTTTTTCATTGTCAATATTTGTTCGCCTAAAATCTTTCGAATTAAGCTTTTAAAGGCTACAAACTTTTTTAAAAAAACCAAATAAAAACACACGAACACCAAAACAGAATGTGACGCCACAATTCTATGTTTTGTTATTTTGTTGTCATTCATAAAGAATAATAAATAATAAATCTATTAGCTACGAGCTTCACTTGAATGTACTTATTACTTTAATTTGAAATAATTTTCTCTACAAAAAAAAATTTACTTGTGAGGACAAATTTTTCTCATCAATACTTTTCTTTTAAAAAATTTAAAACTCGTTATTTCATGTACACAAACTCAAATAATTAATTCTGTTATAATATTTTTCTTTTACAAAAAATTTAAATTTAAAATGTTAAAATTAAAAATTATGATTTGAATTTAACATCTAATTACTTTCAATATCGCGTGAGGCAAGTGCCAGCTAAACAACCTTTTCATCCATTCGTGTATAGCACAATCAACAAAGTAATTGAAACGTTAAATGGCTAGTAGTATTTTGGGTTCATTTTGAGATCTTCTTTTTTAAATTAGAAAGAAAATACATTAAAGGCATAGGTTGCCATAATTTTCCTTTACACTCGTATAAACACGTGACAGTATTGTAAACATGCAGCTAAAACAAACCGACGTGTTATCTTGCTGCCACGTAGCTTTTCTACTTCTTCCACGTGTCAGTTAAATTCTGCTATATATGTCTACTCCACTCATTGAGATCCCACCTGAGCGGTAAGCGTGAATTTGTGTTATGAGAGTAACATAAGCCTTCGATTTTTATACCAAAAATAAAAAAAAATAAAAAAAGAGTTCAATTTGATAAGAGTTAGAAAAATGCAGTCCATGAAGGAAACTGCGGCCAATGTGGCAGCCTCTGCCAAATCTGGCATGGAAAAAACCAAGGCCACTCTTCAGGAGAAGGTAATTTTCTTCTTAACTTCATTTTTGTTTCTACTCATTTATGGTTTTTTCTTATTTTCTTGATCCTTTCATTTATGTGAATGAGCGAAAAATAACGTTTAGTTATAAAAGTTGTCTAATGGAATAGTCTCTTAAAAGTGCTTGATACGATCAAATCCTATGAAAAGCATACGGATGTCAATAAAATGTTAGAATTCAAAGAATTGTCGAGAAGAGAAGTTTTGTATACAAATGGCGCTCATTAGTTATAGTTGTGTTCAAGTTCTCAAATATTTTTGTAAGAAGTGCATAACAGACATCCTCTTATAAATAGTTTTTGTTTATTGATACTCCATTCCCACTAATTCTTTTCTTTAAAAAAAAAAAAATAATCCACTAATTCTTTCTTAAACATATCAACCACAATTTTAAAATTTCCTCGTTGATAATTGATAAATTAAGATCACCAATTTCTTCTTTTTTTTTTTCAAAAAAAACCTCTCATTAATTTTTATTTTTATTTTTTAACTTTCATTGATATACATTGTGCCGTTTTCGTAACGTAGAACGGAAAATAATTACCAAAATTAAAAAACATAAAAAAATTTAAAAAAAAAGAACTTCGTTTTGAATGTGTAATTGGGCTTTTAGGCCAATCTTTTAGATCTGGACTTTTATGATGAAGCCAATGAATCGAAGATGGAGAAGATGACGGCCCACGACCCAGTGGAGAAGGAGATGGCAACGGAGAAGAAAAAGGCCCGGATAAGCCAGGCCGAGCTTGACAAACAAGAAGCGCGTGAGCATAACGCGGCGGCGAGAGAGGCCAGAAAAGCCGGCGTCGGCCACACCGGCTACACCGCCACAGGCACTGGAACTGGAACAGCCACGTACTCGACCACTGGCACGACCAGTCAGCCCACTGGGACCCACAAGATGTCGGCCGGGCAGGTGGTCGAGGGCGCGGTCGGGGCCCACCCTATTGGGATCAATACCAGCACTGGTAGGACCAGTGCAGCCCGCAACACCCGCGTTGAGGGAACCGGTGCCCAAGGTTATGGAACCGGTGGCTACTATAGTTGAAGTGGATTGTTGTCGTTTTAGGTAAAGAGGGCCACTCTTTACTTGTACCCCTTGAGGTGTCCAGTTCCTCTTATGTTTAATGAGCCTTGTTTTTGTCGGGAGTTTGTCTTGTAGTTGAACAAAGTTGTAATGTTCAAATCGAATAAAGCAAGTATCTTTATGTAAAAATTCTTTAAAAAAAAAATGTTGAGTCTCATGTATCAAAAAGAAAAAAGATTCAAATTAGTAGAATATAATATAAATATGGCGTTTTGGTTTTAAAACAGAAGGCCCTCCTACCCAGTAAGAAGCGGAAAAAAGTTTTTCTTTTTCTCGCTGTTTTTTTTTTCATTCTTTTTTTAATGTGTTTTAGATTGTCAATTTAAACGCATTCAGCTGAATTCCAATTGTAAGAGCATCTCTAAGCCAACTCTATATATTTTACGTTAAAATCTAGTTAAAGTGACTATAAAGTTAATTTAGTTAGTAACTTTTTGTGAGTCATTGTTATTATTTAAGCTCTTGTTAATTTTAGCCTTATTTATTTATAACTAATTATTTTACACGTTCCTGATTTTCATATTTGAAAATCTCACTGAAATAAAATCTCACTGAAATAGTAGGAAATAGACCAATATGAAAAATTTAAGAAAATATGTCATTTTTTAATTATAAAAATTAATAGACCATAACTTGTCAAGTTATGGTTCATAATCAGATAATTTATGGACAAACTTATCAAGTTATGGTTCATAACCAGATAAGTTATGGACAATAACTTGTCAAGTTATGGTTCATAACCAGACAAGTTATAGACGAAAACAGTAATTTAACCTATTTATTAATTTATGTAAACTATTGACCTATTAATTTTAATTCATTTCAAGTCTTGGCCTATTCTCCCTAAGAATTATTAGTTTTAAATAATATAGATGAAGTGAAAAAACAAGTTAAAAAATTATGAGTGCGTTTGAAATTAATTTTTGTTTATTTTTAAAAATATTTTTACACGTCTTTTGAAACATGAAAATAAAAATAATTTGCAAACCGTTTTTATTTAACAAATGTTTCAAAAACAAAAATGAATAAAAAATAGTAAGAATAGTTTTTATAAAGGACTAAAAAAATGATTAAATATTATTTTTCCTTTTCTATTTTTAATTTTTAGTACTTATTAACAATGCTATAATATATTAATTAATAATTATAACCAAACACATTTTCACTTTTTTATTATACTTAAAATAATCTTTAAAAAATCAATCAAATGCAAGTTCAAAATCAGTGTCAAAATGATTCTCAAAACAATCTAATTTTTACTTTTGTATTGAAAACAAAATCATTTTGAAAACGTTACCAAATGAGCCATGTGTTTCTCCATCTTTGACTATAATTATTATTTAAGATATAGTTAAGGTTACCCTTATTTATTTATAATCAATTATTTCGTATGTGTGAATTCCACTAATTAGGCGTGATTAATTTTAAATAATATGAGTGATGCGAGAAAAAAAGTTAAAACACTCGATTTCTCCATTTTTAACAATGATTATTACTTAAGCTCTAGTTAAACCTAATTTTATTTATTTATAATCAATTATTCTGCACGCTCCCTCCTAACGTGAGAATCTCACTAATTATGGACGTTAGTTTTAAATAACATAGGTGAAGTACGAAAACAAGTTAAACAATCGGTTTCTCCATCTTTGACTATAGTAATTATCTAAGCTAAAAGCCTAGTCTTATTTATTTATATTTATTTATAACCAACTATTTTGTAGGTTCCCGACTTTCGTACGTGAGAATCTCACTAATTAGGAATGAATAGTTTTAAATAACATGGGCGGAGTGCGAAAACAAGTTAAACAATTGGTTTCTCCATCATTGGCAATGGTATTTCTTTAAAAAAAAAAAAAAAAAGAAAAAAAATCACTTAGTAAAAAATCATAATACTCAAAAATTCTAGATAACTAATCCACTTGCATGTATTTGAGACATGAAATAATACAAAGAGAGGAGCAATAATACAAAAGGATGAAAGAATTTATGGAGTGAACTAAATAGATTTTTAGGGACACAAAAACTATTAAAAACAAAAATTTGGGAAAAATTGAAAGGCGGCAGGTAATTTGGTTGAAAATGATAGGGTGGAAAGGAGATTCTTAAAAAATAAATTAGAGGAAACAATTTTTGAAGAAGCGGTTGATTGGAAACAATAGATGAATTGCGGATGGATGAAGGAATGGGATGGGAACACTATTCCACAAGATGAAGTTCCGTTTGGTTCCCTTCATTTGCCAAGTTCTTGAGAAAAAAACAAGTATTCTTCTAGAAATAGCAAGATAAAACATAAAGGCTGCAAAACTCGAAAAACTTACGGGAGATGCACAACCACATTTTTTTATCAGTTATGTACACCATCAAAGCAACATTTTTTATCCGTCTACCTGTCTGACCAGTAACAATAAGAGAGAATACATTAGAAATTATGACAAAACAGGTGAATTGGAACCTGGTTAACGAAAGACAAATAGAAACCAAAATAAAAGAGCAGCTTATGATATGTTGTATGATCAAGGAAATAAAAAATAATAATGATGTAGTTGGAAGGCTAGAAATCAGACTTAGCAACGTTAAAAAGCTTATTTAGTGACAGCCACCACCACACTAGCATTTGTGTCTTTCCAAAATCTTAAGAGGCTAAAAGTTCTTACTATAATATCAATCCCAAGTATAAAACTAGAAGCAGAATAGAAAAGAAAATCCAAAAAACCTAAGACGGTATTTAAAGAAAAACAGGAATATACTTCTAAAATAGCATGGAATCATTTGCCTTACCATCACTAGCAAAAGAAACATAATACAATTATTGAATTTATAAATAAACTTGAACTTTACTCATTTGTTCTATGAAAGCATGAACATTGAAGTTCACTCTATAAGGTTGGAGAACAGAGAAAAAAATATGCCAACCTATCAAAAAATTTTGTTAAAAGACATCTACTGTCTTGAGCTCGTACTAAGCAATGAGAGTGGTCTTTCCCATGTTCACATTATCGCCTAAAGCTCCACTAAACCTATCACATAATTTAACCAACAACAAATAAAGACACCCGTTGTATTGAAACTAGAAAGAGAGACATAATGACGACAATGTTTTACGCAGATTATGCCACTATTATGTACGCCATCAGTTCAAGATGCCTTTTTCTATTTCATCTACTAAATTTTCTCTCCATTTTTGCTACATTTTTTTTTTCAATTTTCCCCCTCAAACTCACTTTTTTCATTATTTCTTTGATTTTTCTCCATCTATCTTTTTATTCCCACTCTCTCTTTTTCTTTTCTTGTATGCTCACAAAACAAACAAGCAACTACAATTGCCACTCTAAAAAAATAAGATCTCAACTATGGAAGCTGCAGCCCAACCAACATTTGTTCTTCTTTTCTTTCTCAACAATTCAATTTGATTCTTATTATTTATTATTTATTATTATTTTTTCCTTTACTTTGTCTTTTATTTTTCTTCTTACTATTTGTTCTTTTTTCCCCTTCTGTTACATCTAACTTATTTTTCCCTCATTTTCTTACTTTTCGAATTTCTTCCTCTCTCTTTTCAATGGCTCAATGATCACGGCAGTAAATTTTCCTACAAGGAAGATGAAAACTAATCAGGAAGGAAAACACAAAAAAAAAAACAAAAAACAAAAAATGAAAAAGAGTTCAGGACAACATTTAAAAAATTAGTAAGTGCACTACTTGCCTGAGTCATACAAAGGAAAACATTTCAGCGGATCATCTGATAATGTACACCACTTGCTTGAGTCATACAAAGTAAAACATTCAAACTGATCCTCTCGTTACGTACACCACTAGCCTGAGTCATACAAAGGAAAACACATTAGTAAGTGGAACCTAAAAGAAAGAAATGGCTCTTAAAGAATAGTTATGTATGAGCTCAATGAAAACATATATCAAACTTGAAGTACTTCAGCTAACACGGTAACAAGCAACTAACACGATAACATAAGAAAAAATGCTCATTTTCATTCTAGTCTAAGCTTAAGTTATGATCGCGTGCCACAAATAGCTTGAGGCAACTTGGCCTTGACCTTCATTCTTAGCAAGGAATTGGTGTTCATATGGCAACATCCTAAAGCCCTTCTACCATTTCCTATGATTTACAAAAATAGGGCTCAATTGCATAACCGTAAGGGTTCCGGGCATAGTGCCTTATGGCAGGGCGCAGGTCGCTCATCTTTCATCTCCGACATAGGTCGATCTCGTACCTCACTCATCCTTAGCTTCGTCCCTTTCATCACCCAAGGCTGACAACAAATAAATGCCCGCTTGATTGAACTTACCTTTCTTGGAAGCGTTAATAAGACGGGGTTGTTTTAGTTGTTGTTTTTCAACTGTACTGACTTAGACCACAGCAGACGTGGCTTAGGCCTCCTTCCTCTCAAGTGAGACCCGTACCAACCATAGGATATCTCATAACAGAGTAGAAATACCAGGAAATCTCCTTATTTTTAATTCACTCCTCATTAAGAAAAGCACTTCATCATAGCCGATAGCAATCTACGAACCCTTTAATGGCTGGCCCCGCAAGGGCAGCGAGAATGACCGCAGAGAACAAGGCGGGGAAGCTCGCCTACTATTCCAACCCCCAAGAACCAGTGAAGGCGACGTCTCACTACTACCAGTACGAATTGCGTTGATTCCACTCCCCCACAGCCTTATAGTGACTGCCTAGTCCTTCTTTCCGGTAGCAGTACGCACCTCTCTCGATTTCGGTAGATGACCTGTCGCTACTCGGCTTGGTCGTCCTTCCCTAGGCAGCGCTAGGTGAATCCGCCTTTAGTTACTTCGGTAGGTGGCGAATCTACAGTGTGTATAGGTAGTAGTGGAGTAGTCTCTCCTATTGAGAGAATATAGACTGGACTTTTTTCTTATTTCTTAAGGCAAGTAGCTGGTAACACATAGTAATAGGCACCATTCCTCCCTCCCGTAAGCTTTTTTATACTAAATATTCCTCTTAGTCTCAGTTTTGACTCTTCTTCCTTTCTTAAGTAAGAAAAGAACCATTAGTTGGTCGCTGGTCTTATGGTAATGG